TTATGAATGATTTTGAGTATTTGTTACCTCCCTGAAAAATGGAGGTAGTGTTTTCGGCGTGTCTGTGTGTGTGTCTGTCTGTGTGTGCATGTTTCTGCACATTTGTAGCCAGCATAACATTTGAACCTTTGGATGGATTGTAATGGTATTTGGTATGTGGGTAGGTGTTGGGTAGGTATAATTAAAGAAGAAATTTACATGTCAAGCCCTTATTTTATGAAGGTATGAGATTTCAGAACTCTTGTTTTGGTTGAGATGTCTTGTTAATATGATTGATTACTTGTACTCTTTTTTTTTTGAAGTTCATTTTTTTTTATTCATTTCATTAGAGAAACAAAATCATGGCACAAGAAAATAAATGACGTACATGTATGACCACAAAACTGATACATAAAACCGGCAGACAGTAAACAGTAGAAATGATAAGAAATTAATGAGAACCCCCCAGGAAACTAAATTAAAACAATGGCCAAAGGAAAACTTAGATCGGTATGACATATAAGTTTTACCGATTTTTATATATATAAGAATATATATATAAGCAATGAATTATATATATTTAAATATACGTTACACAAGAGTATATATATATATATATATGTAGGAAATGAATAAAAACTGACTAAAGGCAACTGAATCGGTATAACATGTAAGTTATACCGATATATACATATATAAGAGTATACACATAAGGAAATATATATATGTATATATATATATGTATTGAGAAATAAATAACATACATATATAAATATAAGGATATATATATACATATATATGTATGCATACACATGTACATACATACACACATACATACACAAATGCATATATATACATACGTAAAACAATGAATAATGGAAACTTAAATTGGTGTAATATATAGTTTCCCCCACTTCCCAATGTGTTTAGGTATTTTATTCAACCTTGTAGCAATAATACACTCTAATTTTTGAACATGAGAAACAAAAGAGATAAAGCCAGATATTTGTAGTTTCTGTTGACGATACTTGAAAATATAAATCTTACCTAAGAGAATGATAAGGTTTGACAGAGCTGGGCAACGATCACTTAAATCACCAAAGATAATATTGAAAGCATTAATATGCAAATGAATATTAGTTAGATTTTCATACCTCTTTTCATCTTCCTCACCTTGACAAAATTGAAGGAATGAACAATACGTCTCCATACAGAAGATTTTCCATGGTATTCAATGATGTCATCCATTGTGAGCTCTTCTAGGCACTGTATGCAAACAATACAAAACAGACTTACAAAATTGGTGTTATGGTATAGGAGGTATATAGGATTATGATGGTCAAACAAAGGGAATATGGCATTCCTACATTTCTGATTCAAATTACCTAACTAAAGTTGCATATTTCTATTTTATTTTTCTTTGGAACTCATTAAGCAAATAATATGCTAAAATGCATCATTTCATGTTGGTAAAGAAAGACATCAACAAAACAACAAACTCACCCTTCCTACTAATGACATCTCAGCTACTCTCTTGTCTGCTAGTGACACATGTTGCTCATAGATCTCAGCAACATTCTGAGGGCAAAACAAAAAGAGAAAGTTGGACTGGCTTTTGCTGAAATCTTTTAATGATGTCCCTACAATGTTACATGTATATCAAAGTTAGCAAAATGAAATAAACAAAACGTATGAAACAATTCTAAACTTCCTGTAGCTACTGATAAACAGTGCAAAAGCAAGCGAATAACTTTTATGATCTTACATGCATGTTGATGAACATGTGCCCTAAACACAGCCCCATCTTCTTGAAGTAAGGTTGGCGGGTTCTCACACCTACTGAGGCTGCTATGTTCTACAAAAAGTAAAAAAAGAATTAGTAAATTTAGTTGGGGAAACCCCAAAACAATTATTGAGTGTATCCATCAGAATTGAACATATTTACTTCAGACATTACCGTGACAGCAAGTATAATGAATTGGTTAGGCCACACCAATTTAATTTGTTGGTTCTCAGATTTTTTCAGAAAAAATATGAAGCGACAGGGCGAAAAAAAATAAAAATAAAAACAGGTCTAGGCATCCTATTATAGGCTGAAATGCTACAAAATAAGCCATGAAGTCAACACAAAAGGCTGGGTTGAAATTTATACATTGAATTTTGAACTTTTAATCAAACCACTGCAATGATAGATGGGAAAACTGTAACAACTAGGAAGAAAAGGACTTTCCTCAACTGTTGGGGGGCAAAACATGAGCATTTTTCAGTTGATTCAGGACCAGAATCAAATTTTTTTTTTTTGCAAATCAGAAAAAAACGAACAGGCGAATCCGAGAACCAACAAATTAAATTGGTGTGGCCTTATGATGTTATGGATGCATGTTGGCAGGATACTCTATATCCTAGATAACATTGTGTAGTATCAGGTGAGATAAATAAAAACACAATCCATTCTCCACTTGCCTGCAATCCATATTCTATTGCACGGGAAAAGGTTGATGCTGTCAAGGGCGTCACTGCTCCTGGCATCATTTCTCTGTGCAACACATATCTCCATGATTATTTCTGCATGATTCCAAGGTTCAACATTTGTGTCAGAACTCAGAAGTGTACACCCAAAACCTTAGTATTAACACTGAAAAAATTATACCTCTGTTTTCTTGATCTTTGTACCTTATATTTTGGTTACTCTACTGGAGTCCTATAAGCCCTCATGGGCAAAACTTCATTCAATAATTCATATAACCCTATATGTAGCTATAGAAAGGTCCATGATAGTATATAGCACTACACCATCAACCCACTAGTGTAAATGTATTCATGCAGAGAAGCATTTTTCTGTACCATTGCTGTTACTCACGCAATATTACTAGTGGTGCTGATTTCTTTCTCTGATGAAAGTGGTGCGTCAAACTCATGCATCAGTTCCCACTCTGACTCTATGCCAAATGTGGTGATAGGTCGAGCCTAAAGATAACAAAATCATCTTTGTTAAATGGTAATGTATGAAATAAACCTGTAATGTTAGCAGTACTCTGTCCCAACGTTTGCTAGCAACAATGTCTGATACAGCTGGCTTAAAATTGTATAGTTCATTTAATCTCCCTGCTTACTATGTATTAAAGGAATATATATTCACAAATTACCTTAGAAAAGGGTGAAGCTTAATGAAAGGTCATGAAGAATGAAAGGAATGTTAGCTGTGTTGCAAGCTCTACTACCAGTATTACATATCCATCATATGTATGGCACCTGTAATAGATACACTGTGTCTTGGCTCAATGCCCATTCTATATCTTGTGGTCCATCATAGGCTTCTTCCACCTGAAACACACAGACATAATCTTTGTAGTTCCCTACAATACAATAGTTACTGTGATGTTATACATCGGTCAGATTTTACATTGTCAGATCAGACAATGGCAATATGTATAAAGAGTACCCAGTCACATTTTTAAATCATCTACGAGATGACTGATCATCTATACTGTATACATACATGAACATAACTTACATTCAATACTAACTGTTAAAATCCTTTTAATATCTAGTTAAAGTATAACAATCGTAACAATCGAAAATCATATTTTTCTCTTAACCTAGGACACTTCTAGCAGCAGGACTTTTTCCGTACCTGTACAGCAATGTGACCGAGCTGGACAGCTGTGTTATTACTTAGACAGCACTTCTCAGACTGAGCTGAAGTCACTTCTTGCACTTCTGTCCCCCCTTCATCTATGAAAGAATCAACAGTTACAACTCTGTTTTGCATGACAACAGATTACAAAGTGATTTCAAAATGTCAGTTATACAAAAATGGTGGCATTCGATTACATGCCTACTTTTGAAACAAGCAAAAAAGACAATGAGAAATAAACTGTTCTAAAACCCAAAAGAATATAACTCACCGGAATTTTTTACCAAATCTGTCAGACTTAAAAATTCCAGTGAGCCATATTCTTTTGAGTTGGAATTACCAACTCAGATGAATTAATGCACAAAACATGCATGTATGTGCATTGTACATTGATGAGCCTTACCTAGGGGAACCACCTGTTGAGTCTTGCTGCCTAGATCTACACCTTCCACCTGACATGAGCCGTCCACACTGCGGGACAGGGTGATGGTGTCAGGATGGGACTCACCACTCACTACAGACTGGGGGAAAAAGGAGCAGTCAATGTGTTAAATAACATCAGTATTAATTTCAAGAGAAACATACAACTGCATGGGAGGTCAATGATGAAATCTTAGCATTGAAGCAACCAGACACAAGAAGACCTTCATGTAAGCATGCAGAACTCACCTCTCCCAGTCCGTAGTTGGCATTGATAACCATCTTGCCTGGATGTCCAGTTACAGGGTGCTGGGTGAAAAGGACACCTGCAAAAAAATATAGAAAAACATTCACACAACAAATTTACACAATGTACTTGATACCTCAGAATGTCACTTGTAAACAAAAAATAATAATTGTCAATATGTGTAGCTGTGCTGATTTGCACTCAATCACCTCAAAAGAAAAACTAGCTCTAACGAATTACAGCATTTCACAGTCCATTCACCTGCTACTTCTGCTGGGACCATCTCCTGTACCACCACAGCCATGGACGACCCAATAGGCTGGCCATGTTGTCTGTGGAGAACGGTATGTACATTATATGTGACTGTGTAGGAATCTGTAGTTAACATAAAGAGTAGAACGTGACTAAATGAATTGATCATAAATGACTAAAAACTGTTGCTTCATGCAATGGCAGACTTATAGTCAATGTAAGAATTTACAAATTTCAAATAACTAATTTGTCACCTTCTGTACTGGACAGCAGGAAACCCATAGAGTGAGGCCCAACACTTCTGGACTGAGTCACAAATCTGAAACAAAACAGCATAAAATTTTGATCAGTTATATTTCAACATTGAATCAAGATCGAGACATCTAGTATATAATTGAGGATGTGTATACTGAATTTGCTTTAACCAAGTTAACAAGAAAGGGCTAAGAACGTATCAGTATGTTTTTGGAAGAGTTTTGGAACAAGATGAGAGAAACCCCACCTGATCCAGCCCTCGGACACCCAGCTCTGTTATCATCTGTCCTGCTGCTGACATCTCTTCTGTGTCTTCACCTTAACAAGGAACATTTCTTTGTAACCTGGTGTCAGCATGATTTAAGAAAACAATTTACACTACATGGTTGAAAAACAATATACCAGAGGAAAAATGCAACCTATCTATCTACATCTTGTACTCAGGACACAGTATGAGAAGTTCAAAGAATATTACATACCAATAGCAGATGAACGAACAGCAAACTGGCTGTCACTCGGGTTACCCAGTTCAGCTTGGATGGCTTCTCTCACTTCTGGTGCCAGAGCAACAGATGTGAACATTTCCCCAACACTGGCAGATGTAGGAAAATTACATGCAACTTTCTTTAGTTCAAGGAAAAGAGAGGTCATAAAAAGAATCTAAAAGATAATCAATCAACATATCGTTTGTTTGAAAAAACAAAATATCGCACTTACCTCTGGCAAATTTCCTGCAGTGCCTCTACCTGGCCGGTACTTCAGGAAAAAAAGGAGAAGAACAAGTGATGGCTACAGGGAAGTATTTTACAATGGCTAGGACCAAACAAATGGCATGGGAAATTTCATCACTGATGATATAGAATACAATTTCAAGATTACTTACTTCTACAAGACATGTGGGCAATGGTGAAATACATACCAAGAGATCTGCTTCAGTTCTTCTAGCTTTGATTTCAATGTTGGATGACTCTATAATGGTAACCAGATAAGATACATGTTTTCATCTCAGACTCTCCATAACATAGAGTGTGTAATAAAAGCTGACAGGCAAATAACATTAACCCAGGATAATCCGAATATTTGTGATCTGTTATCATTTTCTTAATTATGACCATTATATTCTAATAATCCATGACACTAACCTTCAGCTGCAATTCCATGGCTGCCATGGTAACACAGAACCCAGAGGGAACCTTAAACTGAAACAGAACAACCACCAGGCATGTAAGCTAAGGTTCCAGTCAATAATTTGGAAAATAGATTGTAATAAAAAGTAAAATACAAAGACAAATGTTACAGAGAAGAAAATGTGGACATATTACCATTGTGCCTTTGCTCTGCAGAGCAGTCAGTGTGGCAAGACTGCCCCCTTTCCCTCCGACCAGTTCCGTACAGCGGCAGACTGGACTGGACAGGGACAGAACCAGCAGCTTCCTGTGTGTACTGGTGATGTCCGGCAGGGGCTGCTGGGGTCTGGACTCACGGGGCGGCAGTGGACAGCCAGTAGTGTTCCTTCGGTCACAAGGTGGACAAGGAAGGATTAAATTTACAAATGTAGATGGAAAAACTGTACCATACAGTCTTCCTTGTGCAGATGATTGCTGACTATTTTCTGATAACTTGTTATGTATAATGTTTATCAATTTTGGTTTATCAATGTTGGCTTAAACTCAGCAAGAAGGCTTAAATAACTTCAGAACAGAAAGAAGAGATGGATGTGAAAAAACTTACTTGTAATTAAACTCACAAACTCCCCAACCACTCAGGCCATTCACAGTGAAGTTAGCCAGCCGTTCGTGTACACGAGATTCCCACTGAAGCCCATTGTACCAGGTAGATTGACAGTATATTTCCACATGCACATCGTACTTCTTACCTCCTGAAAAGCATACCAATACATTCGGTAATTCAAATGTTCTTATGTTCATTGCCATTCTGGACAGTGACATTTAAGCTATGATTTTTACAATAAGAACAGGAGTCATCTTTTTTCCTTTAAAACTAGGTTTTTGACAAATTTTCTGAAGAACCTCTTCAAAAGTACTTCTTTATGATTTGACTACGAGAGTGCATCTTACTTTGCTTAACTTCTAAACAGGACTAAAAACTGAAGAATGTTGGGTTTAATATAAACTAATCTCGCATTCATTTTAACGTTTTCACAATCACCTGCCACAAAGCTGAAGGAGTAGTTGTGAGGCATGTTTCCATCCTCCCCAATACTTGACAACACCAAGTCCACATCTGACACTGCCTGCATTTTCCCATTAGGGGTGAAGACATAGCCTGTCCTCAGACTGGGGAAACAAAGTTGACAGCATAAGTCACAGAAAGTATGACATGGACTGGTATATAACCAGCATGAGTTGTCTGGTAGTACCAACAAAATTATCTATTCAATATGAGTAATTGCTACCTTGACTCTAAACATGTTTGATATTTTCTCACCTTTAAGAGGGGAACATGGTGAAAATTACGCAGAGTGTCTACTAGCGTGTACCATGGTACTCCTGGTACAGCTGATATATAAGGAATAAGGACTCATTTTAAATCTGGGATTGAGAGTATTGATCATTTAATACTTACTCTGACATGGTTGTTGGAAAACAAACTGTAGCTACTTGAAGGCAGGAGCCATCCTATGGATATAAAACAGCAATAGGATGTAATGGCAAACAGAAACATGAAGTATGATTATCAACAACTGTTGAATGAGAAAATCCACTACATCAAATTTATTCATCATGTTTGTGTATCATCAGACTGAATTGCCAAAGAAAAGAGAGAAAAAAAGGTAAATTTCGATAATATATGATTGTGTACATTCTTCCACAAGGGTTCAGATCTGCAGAATATTTTTTTCTGTACCCCTAAGGTGATGGCTTTGAAAAAATCTGGTGATAAGCTATTTGACTCATTTTCTGAAGCATGCATGTACAAAGAGGACTGCCACTTTACCTCTAAGTAAGCAAAATGAACTATGTAGCGATACATGAAGCCCCAGTCTCTCACACCTATGGAAACAAACAAGACTTAGTAACCATGTCAATTTCTGCATTTCAATTAAACATAACACTTACATATGATGGGATTTTGCAGTTTGGATGTAATATTCAGAATCCCTTGTGTCCTACCAAATGAGTGGTCCCTGTAACCCTTGAGCCTGACGTGCCTCTCCTCATGTCCCTCTATGTGCAGACCTCCCCAGAGCTGTCCCCACTGGTTGTAGTGAGTCTGATGAGAACTGAAATCATCATTGGAAAAAAAAACTATGAAGCAGACAATTCCATAGACAGTGGAAAAACCATCTGATCAATATCTTGGTATTTTTTTTACATTTGAAAGCAATCGTTGACAAGTGTTGCAAAGTTTTCAACAGATTTCATTCCTGTCAAATTGTTCATACAAGAAAGTAAACAAATTTCTGGTAAAACAGTAGTAAGTCTAACAATCATCATAAAAAAAGTAACCCCCAGTTAACACGTACCTTCTTAAGTCCTGGAAGAACTGCTTGTTCCACTTCTCGATGGCCATGGCACGGGCGATGGCTCGAGGATGAATGTCAGTGTCAAAGTTGAAGGGCAGGGTGTAGGCAGACCACATGAAGGAGAACTTGACATGGACCAAACGACCCTCCTCCTTTGTGACATCGGTACGTGGTGACTCTGTCAGTCTGCAGTTATGAAAAATGTTGTTCTTATAAGTCATGTACATGTACTAGATATATTGTCACTTGTACATGACAGTTCCAACAAATGTTACCTCCAGAAACAAGTATGTTAGTTACCTCATCAGTCCGTTGAACTGTACTTTCCATGTTCTCATGGCCTCCACTGGTTCAAAGGTCAGCCCTGCGGCGGAGAAGGTTTTCCCGTCGGTGTTGAAGACTGCGGTGTCGGGATGCTGCGGGGCCTGCAGCACGCCCACTCCGGGCACGTGAAGGATGAACCAGATCTCCGCACGATGCCCGTGGCGCCGACAGATCCGTGTCACCACGGCAGTTCCATCAGGAGCAAAACCATTGAAGTAAGCACTGTCCAGGGCCTACAGAGATACAACACTGGTTTAAGTTAACACTTAATTAAGTTGATCATCATCTAAATTTCTAAAGAAATAAATCCTTCATTAAACAAATTACTCATTACGTTGAGGTTTGGAATGTGATATTTTTAAGAATAGACAACTTGTTTAATAAAAAAACAACATATGGATAGTTTTAAAATAAGAAAAAAGCTTGATGACTACAAATTGGTATTTGTTATGTCTATCTTTGATTAATGTGTCAGTTTAGTTGTTTTCATAAAATGCTTTGGCTGTTCAATACCTATCATAACTTACAACATACCGGTAGCTTAATGTCTTGTAGTTGGCTTTTTTCATTTGAAGTGCAAAAGTACAAAAATGTATGTGCCAAGGTATGGCCGAAAAAACAGTGACAAAGGTAAAAAAAAGCCTTTGTATACATCACAATGGACCAAAACCTTTCAAGAACATTAATTTTGCCATCAATAAGATTACTCTTTTTCAGTCTCAAAGGCACATACAATTGAAAAAGCTTTGAGCTGGGATTCATCACACCTATGACGCCCTGGAAGCTAGGAAAGTAACAATTGTTTGTAACTTGCTATTCACTCCGATCCTACGCAGATGACGCAACTTCCTTGTCGTCAGTTCTATAGCTAACGTTATATATATATATATATAGATATATGATCATTGTTGCCAATTCACGTGTGCACAGAGGGAACCCATTCTATAAATGTCTTTCTGAACAACAAGCCCACAAAAAGAACGCCTGCATGAGCAAAGCTTCAGTCTTTGTTCATATCCTAACTTAAGAACCCAATTTGTGCTACATACTGGTAACGTTTACGTCAAATGACACTAATCATCCTCTTGAGGGCATTGGCACTATAGTCACCATTTCATTGGGCAACGTTTGGGTGAAGAAAGCCCAATTGTCTTCTACCTGTATGATGCTTCTGACATGTGTTTCCTTCTCACGTTACTCTCTATAAATATATTGCTTATTCTCTATAAATAATGGGCGAATCTCACAGATCAACCAGTTGCAGGTTCCAGCAAGTCCCTACTTGTGCTACTCTCAAACAGACAGGTAAGTTTTCATCACTAACCTTTCAAAAATCCTTATACTGTACTTACGTTGGCAGTTTTAGGTAAGGAAAATATGACATTTACTAAATTTATTCTATGATCCTAGTCTCAGAAGAGCCAGACATGGCTTTTCCCATCTTCAAGATTGCCTTGCTTGGAGGCCTCATGGTTCTGGCTTACGGTGAGTAAACCAACATTTAATTTCTACATGTTTAGATCTTTAATTTTGTACTGTAGTAATGCTTGTGTGCAAGGGGCATTGCACAATTACTTGTTGCCATGAACTTGATGAATTCACAGATTGCAAATGAAGGAGAAATTCACCTACTAGCAAATGTGAGGTTACTTGTATTGATACACACAGTATATCTGCACACCTGTTAATGATGTTATGCATAGAACATTAACTGGTGATACATTTTGTATCTAAACAAAATATTCTATTATCTCAAACAGATGCTTGGTTTCTTGCAATTTTGTAAATGTAGTAGCATATTGTCTTAATTTAAAGTTCAACTACCTTGCACTATAGCATCGGAGCCATACAAACTGATGCCACATGGTGGTTCAAACTTAGGAGTGGTGAACGGGAGCACTTTTCTGGAGGGAGAGGAGGTAAGTCCCAAATGATTGCTTGATACACAATAAAGGTTGTATGGGAGTAACTTATGGTATTTATCCAGCATTTTCTCCCTATTTTTCCCTCTCTAATCACCGACTTATCTTGCTGTGTCCTGTTACATGTTTTGCAGTCAGCCTGGGACAGTAACAGTAAGGAGGATAGATCTGTCCCCCCGGGTGAGATTGCTCGTCGCTACCGCCTGTGGAGGGCTTGGAAGAACAGAAGTCGGGCCATGAATGCTAGACGGCGTCGATGCAGTGAGTCTTTTACATCACCATTGTACAAATCTCTTGTCAAATTGTATGAATGTTAAGAATTTCCTTGCAAGCTTGGCATTGCACAATAATTAATAAAGCTTCAGTGACAATTAAGGCATATGCTGTACTGACGCTACTGACTACCCTATTTGCACCGAGAAACAAGAAGTTCAACATAATACTGGTAACTCTTTCAGACTCCAAAGGCATTACTGGAAAACAGTAGAAATTGGTCAAATACTAGTGAATAATATGCCAGAGAAGTTAGGTGGCAGCCAAAGGGGTACAGTAATTTGCAACCCATTGGTCTGGTAGAGAATATTATTAGCAAGCATGGCGGTTTGAAAGAAAGCTTGGATCACTCCACGTCACCAATTCTCCTAGGAGCCAATTTGCGAGCATATTTATAGGACCTGGCCTGCATGTCCTAATGAAAAGAAATTCTCATGTTTCAAAGCTTTCTGTTTTCTTTTATGTCTTTTCTTGTCACATCAATTTTACCTCTTTTAGCTCCCAAGTTTTATCCCCTCTGCAAATAGAAGTGCATATTGGTAACAGGTAATAATAGCACAATAGCACTAACCAGGCTAACAGTCTCAATATCTACAATACAAATGTGATGCTCCTTATAATTAGATGAGTCTTGATGAAAAATCATATGAAAAACACACAAATCAAACATTTTTAGTAACAGGTTTGTGTCCTTTTGTCCTGTAGCCCACAACCCACGTTGCTGCTCCATGAAGTGCGTGGATCAGCCATGGATTCCACTCGTCAGTCTAGCACCACGACTGTGGCATCCGAGGTACAGCGTGACTGTCTGCCGATGTGTCTGCTCCTGCTAACTTACTTAGTAAGGTCCGGTCACAATCACAACGATCAATAGTGACCGACCTTTTTTTTTTCTTTGGGAACATCTCCTAGAACAAGACAGCTGAATTTCGCATTACAAAGCTACAGCTATTCTGAGAATACCCAAGATTTACTGTTGTAAACTGTGTATGACAAACGTGAGAAATTATATGGAATCTATGACTGCCCAGAAGATAAGCCTGGAGGACAGCAATAGTGTATAATAACTGAT